CGGCGAGCTTCTGGCGAAACTGCTCTTTGTCTCCTGCCAGGGAAAACAAGATCTCGTGTTCAGGTTCGGTGAGGTCCTCATACATGCGCTTCTCCCCTGCAGCTTGTCCCTCATCACCAGGCTTTGCTGCATCGGCATTATCAGTAGACTCACCATCACCATCGCCGTCAACATCCATCTTAGTGGGCAACTTGGAAGCCCTCTGCGTGAGTAAAGACTGGAGCAGCTTCCACTCGGGGCTCTCAAGGAAGGGGATGAGCTCTTTGGGAACCTCGTCTGGCTCGGACCCGAAATCAAAGAGCTGCGAAAGGTCGGGCGCCTGCTTCGCATCCTCGGTAGAGGTCGTGACATGCTTAGCCGTTTCTGCAAATTCGACCTCCAGCGCCTCCACTTCCTTCTGCTTTGCCACAATCTCATCCTGTCTTTTCGCGATCGACTCACGAAGTCCTTCAATCTGCTTCTGCTTTTCATTGAGCTCATCTTGCATCTTCTGCAACGATGTGCGTGCCCGACTGAGGTCCTGCGCTGCCCGTCTGTGTGCAGTCGTAGGGGATCGCAACTGCTTGTGCTGGTTGCGAAGATCTTTGAGCCGCTCTTCAATCGGGGTCTTGATGCTTTCATTACCACTGTTGCAGCGTAGTCGCTTAAGCACATCTTCCAACTCGTATATCTCTTGCATGATGGCATCTCGCTTGGCACCGTTGTCAGCCTTCTCCTCAGACTGTGCGTCAGTGCCTTCAGCTTTGGGCGGCTGCGAAGAATGCCATGGCGGCTTGCCCCCTGTGCCAGGAGGCTTGGCTGCACTGCCAGGTGCCGCTGACGTGGTGCCTGACTGCACGGCCTTGAGCACCTGCGCCAGCTGATTCTCGAGCCGCTGGAGCTTCCCGTGGTCAACGCCGCCGTCGCTGCCCTTGCCCTTCGATCCATTGCCACCTTTGCCTTTAGCCTTGGCATGCGAGGGTCCATTTTTCGCCCATGCTGCTGCATTCTCTTTTGCTCGTTGAACAATCCTGGACGGGGCTGGATTGCCGCACTGACACACCACTCGACTCGCCCAATTCTGGGCCGCTCCGCAGCGGCCGCACCCCCAGACGGGGTACCTCGGTCCAAGGAGAACCGCTTCCTGCCTGGCAGGGGGTGCCATGGGCCGGCCGTAATGGTGAGCACAGTGGGGCTGGGCCGTGCGGGGCGGACCGCACGGCGCTCTGCCTGGGGCGAACCAGGCGAATGACGAAAGCTGGCCGCGGACTAGCGGTATCCACTTTGTTCCCAGGGGAAACCAAAACCTTGAGCCAAAATGGCTACGGAGGAGGAAGAAGAGGAGGAGGAGGAGGAGGAGGAGGAGGAGGAGGAGGAGGAGGAGGACCCCCTCCCCCTCCAACTTATGGTGGTGGTGGTGGAAAACGAGCCCATCACTTCTGCGCGACACGCTGAGCACTTCGCGGCGCCCGGGTGCCAACGTCCCGAGCAGTTCCCAGCCTGCCGCCCGGCGGGAAGGAGCGGCACGCCGCCAGCTCGTACAGGGCACAGGGTGGCGCCAGGGCCGCCTCCGCGACACGCGAGGCCACAGCTCCCGACCGTCATTTCTCGGAGGTCCGCGCGGCTGTCTTCTTCCATTGGCGCTGTGCCCCCCCCCGAGGACGCACCTCCGGCGCCGCCCCTGGCGCGCTTCCGCGTGCCAGGGAGGGGGGGGTCTCCAGCGCTGATCCTCGAGCAGCCCGCGCGAAGCTCCGAGAAGCTCTGTGGATGCCGCTCTGGGCTCCTCCAGGGAGACTGGTTTTCGCAGGCCATGGTCTGTTCTGTTAGGTCTTCCCCAGCAGTCCCCGGGCCCCCCTCGCGTCCAGAACAGGAACACGACGAGAGGTGCTTGGAAGTTTTCGGCCTCTGCCGGGTGCTAAGGGGAAGAGGAGGCGGATCCGTAGACGTCGAGGAGTGTTGTATTTGGCCCGACCTAGCTGAAGTGGGCAGCAAATGCCCCAAAAGGATTAGGGGGTTCGCAATCTGGGCTACGTGGGCTCAGCCCACTTAGCGGATTCATCGAATCCCCTAAGCCATTTGGGGGATGTGTAATCCATGTGTGAATTATGTTAGGCCAGATATAGCCCACTTTGGCATCCACTGATCTTACCCCCATCCCCTTTAGCAACTCTCGCGCCCATCCCTGTGGGGGCCTTCACCAGGCCTCAGGACCATCAGCAAAGTATTCGGGGTGAAAGGCCAGAGAGAGCGCAAGGGCAGCGCTGCGTCTCGCGCCCCGCCGTGCGGTGGCGGAGCGTGCAGGTCTCGGGTGGCCTGTCGGGCCGCACCTCTCCCTCCCTCTCTTTCCCGCGCCTTTGCCGCTCTCTTTCTCCTCGCTTAACAGCCCGAAGCATATCCCCGCCCCTGCGATTGGCATCACCTTGGCTCTGTGTCGATCTTGAGGGTTCACTCGGTCTTCTGGGGGCATCCCTGAGATTGGCCATCGTCTCGGGCTGGTCGATGTCACCCAGCCTCATAGGGGGTCCGTGTAGATAGGGTCGGAGGCTCTCGCCGCATCGCCGATGTGGCTCGATGCGGAGCCCCAGTTCCTCCATTTCGACGTCGGCGCGATTTTGCGACACCATCTACTCGGACCCCATCCGAGAGACCTCTATCTTAGGAGTATGGAGCCTGGAGCACTTCTCTCTTCGCTTGGCAGTTGTGCTACCCATCTGAGCTCAGAGCTTGGTTTCTCCATTATTGTGATGACCGTGATCCTGATTATCCTGTCTCTTGGCAGCATGCCGAGGGGTGAATGAAGAGGGAGAAGGCCTTCTCAGAAGGCGGCGGGGCTCCTCAGAAGCCCTGCGGCCGTCTGAGAAGAGCTCTGTGTCTTCGGTGGAGGCCAGGAACAGTTCTCAGAAGGCCCGGGGCCTTCCGTGCGTTCTGACGAGGCCCGCCCTTGCTCGCTTCCCCCCCCCCAGGCCCGCCGCTGACTCTCTCGCGCTCTCTCGCTCTCTCTCGCTCTCTCGCTCTCCTCCTCCGCAGCCTCGACCTGGGCAGCCCTGCGCTGCCTGGCGGGCTGTCCCCCCGGCGCCCCCCGCGCGCAGCCGCGGCGCGGCCGCTGCGCGGCGGAGGGCCCTGCGTGCGGCCGCTGCGCGGCGGCGCGCGCCCCAGGCGGCCGCGCGCCTGGTCGCCGCCGCGGCGGGCGGCCGCTGCGCGCGCGCGCGGGGGGGGCGCCCCGCCGCATGCGCCGAGAGGGGCGCGGCGGCATGCTGGGGCGGGTGAACCTCGGAGGGGGAGGAGGGGGAGGAGGAGGAGGAGGAGGAGGAGGAGGAGGAGGAGGAGAGGAGGAGGAGGAGGAGGAGGAGGAGGAGGAGGAGGAGGAGGAGGAGGAGGATGAGGAGGAGGAGGAGGAGGAGCAGCAGCAGGAGGAGCAGGAGAAGCAGAAGGAGGAGGAGGAGGAGGAGGAGGAGGAGGAGGAGGAGGGGGCAGGAGGTATTCTAGAAAGGGCCGAGGGAGTTGTCATCTCTTCCTCAGCGGAAGGCGGCGGGAGTAACACGAGGCCGCCTCCGCCGGCGGAAAACGGCGGAAGCCGGCGGAAGTAAAAGATGTGCCCCCAGGAGATGACGACATTTTTGGGCTCAGATTTGCCGTAATCGGCCACAGATGTTGGTTGGGCCCAGTCCGGTTGGGTTGCATGATTTGGGCCTCGGGCTGTCTTTCTGTCTTCGGGACGCACCCAGCTTGAACCAGGTTGATTCCCAAAAATCCTGTGATGTAGGGTCTTCGTTTTGAAGAGACAGCTCCCCGCGTGCCTCTCCTCCTCCTCCTCCTCCTCCTCCTCCTCCTCCTCCTCCTCCTCCTCCTCCTCCTCCTCCTCCTCCTCCTCCTCCCCCTCATCCCTCATAATCCTGCATCTGCTCTCCGCATGTCCACCATTTCGGCACACTCCTCGCACCCTTCGTGGCCCCATGAGGGAGCTCCGCCGAAGGCCCCGGCGGCAACGTCCGCATGACCTACCCGCACCCAATTCGGAGATCCACCGAAGGCTCCAGCTGCAAAATCCGCATGCCGTACCCGAACCCAACTCGGCACACCCCTCACACCTTTCGTGACCCCATAGGGAGCTCCACCGAAGGCCCCCGCGGCGAAGGCCCTCACCTGCACGCGCTACTCGACGCTGCATGCGGTTGGGCCCTTCACCAGGATCCTGTTTTTGCTCGTGGTCGGGGCGTAGGCTCCGTCTGTGCTTCTGCTGCGATGGCCCGCGCGGGCGCGGTTCTCCCTGCTCGAACCGCTCCGTCCGCAGTGAGTCCAGCCCTTCGTGTTTCGGGTCGGGCGAAAGGGGGGGGTTTGGGAAAGGGAGGGTTACGAAATCTGCTGCATGTAGCTGGTTTCGGCCCCACCGAGGGGCCCATTCCTCGATACATAGCCGCCTCCGGCGCCGGGAGGCGCCGGGAAAATCAGCTACGTGAGCTGATTCTCAACCCCCCCCTTTGCTATCCCCCCCCCCCTTCCGCTCGGCCCGATTGTTACCAGCCTCCCTGAAGTCAGGACGCACACGGGGAGTTGTTTGGGAAGCAGCGGTCGAGCCGGTAGAGGCGGGGGCCAATGCGAACGGGGGCCGGCCAGTGTGCCGGATCTTGCAGGCTCCCGCAAAGCCAGGGGGGCATTGACCCGGGCTCGCGCGCAGGACCCTGCAGGATCAGGATCCTGCAAAGCCCGACCGCCCAGGCTTGCATTCACTTTGTATTGGCATTTGCTGGCCCCCGTGACGGGGCTCGTTTCGATTCCTCCGATTCCATTCGAGTCGATGCCGATGGCCTCCGATCCCGATCCGAGACGACCTCGGATGCCGATGTGGATTCCGACTTCTCAGTGGAGGCCTACTAGCTTGCCGATGTTTCCGGATTCGACCTTTCCCGACTCGGCCGCCGCTTTCCGCCGATCCGATGGATTTCGCTCGGCGATCCGATTGTTATCGGTTCGAGTCCAGGCCCTCCTGCCGCAGGTGAACCTGCTCGTGCGGGACCATCTGTATGCCATCCCCGGCAGGGCCCTCTCTCTCTAAACCGCGCGCGAGCTGCCCCCGCCCTGGGGCGGTCTTTGGCCGGCCACCCCACGCAGCGGCCCCAGGTTTTTTGTGCACGAACGAAATGGGTACGGAAAGAATGAGTGCAATGCCCAACAGCAGTTCCTGTTCATGTTGGACAGGACTCGCTGTCCACGCCGCCGCGGCCTGTGTCCATTCGAGACGGAAGGCCGCCTGCCCAACAGCGGCCGCTGTTGGTTTGGGACGACATTTGTTGTTGGGCATTGTACCCATTTTTTTCCGTACCCACTTCGGGCGCCCAAATTTTTTTTTTGCGAGAGGGTGGCTTCTCCTTGGCCTCCCGGGTGGGGTCGGAGCAGGAGGGTCGCCCTGGGAGAAGCGGGTCGTGAGGGGGACAGCTCCTGAGGTGCGTCATCGTTCTCGGGCTCTCGGAGCCCGTCAGCGGCCCGGGACGGCCAGAGAACGACTCGGGATGAGACGTTCGTCTCGGGGACTGCACCAGGGTCCAGGGCCCGTTTCCCTCAGGACCCGCTTCCCCAGTGCTGAGCGGGGTCGGAGGATCGTTCCGCACCGCTGATGCGTAGACGATGCAGCTCGATGTGGAGCCAGAATTTCTCCACGTCGAGGGGCCCGATGTGTCGCCGACGTCGCCGATGCATCGCCGATGCACCGGCGCTACGTAGGCAATGCGGCGCGATCCGCCGACACCATCTGCTCGGACCCCACACAGGGGGCCTCGAGCTTCGACAGAGCCCACGAGGGCCCGAGAGTCTCGACGAGGGCCCTCGAGGCCGCCACGGGAGGTCGGCCCCCGGGCCAGCTCGGGGCGGTCACGGCGCCTTGGCGGCGCGCCGCGCCGCCAGGTTGGGTGTGATGTGACCGCCCCGTGCACTCAGGGCGCCTCGGAAGAAGGTCCCCGTTGTCGGAGACTGGAGCATGCACGGTAGGATTGCGTCGTGTCGACCAGCGGCGACCCCAGCGCGGACGTTCAAGGTTGACCGCCGCCGGCGACCCAGAATCGATCGATGTTGAACGATCGGACGTTGCGGCAGCGGCCGATCGTTCAAGGTTGAACGATCCCTGCGGTGTCAAAAACCAACGCTGGGGTCGGCACGACACGAACCTGCCGTACATTACCAGTGGCGGGCTGTTTTGCAATCCCCGGACTCTTCGGGGGTCGGGGGCAGCGTCGGGGTGGTGAGGCGTATGCTTGTCTGTCCGCGCTGTCCCCGGGGAAGCAGCAACGACATGCACACACCAGGGTCCCGTATGCACCAGGACCCGCTGTCCTGTGCGACTTTCAGCGCAGGGGCCGCAGGAGTCGTCGGTGCATGGAGTTCGTTTCCCTACTTTAAGGGGCTCCGGAGGGGCTCTGGCGTTCGGCCGCTCCTTGGGTCCGGGTGGGGGGGCCTCCTCGCGGCCGAGGCTCGCTGTGGCAGGAGAGGCTCCTTCGGCCCGTGGCCGGCGTTCCTCCTGATGGCATCTGGCGCTCCCGGGTGGGGCCACGAGGAGGGTCGCTCCGCATCGCGGATGCCTCGGCGGTGCGGCTCGATTCGGAGCCAGACCGACGTCGACGATGTGTCGACAATGCACCCATGATGCGTCGACGATGCGGCGCGATCCTCGGGCCCCATCTACTCCGACCTCATTTGGGAGGCCTCTATGGTAGCGCAGTGACCGTTTTCTGGGTCCAGTCGGGCCGCTGAAGGAGGGACCCTTTGCGTTGGGGAGGGGCTCGGTGTTCCTTACACTTTTACAGTTTGTCTCAGGTCTTCCTCGGGTTTTCTGTGGGAAGTCGGAACTTCACTCATGGAGAAATGGAGGCCCGTTCCTTCTTCAGGGTTCCTTGTGCCAGCGTTTCGATTGTACTCAGACCCCATCGCTGAGCAACGACCGTTCTCGAGGCAGCCGATAGGGGGCCTTATGAGAGTGCAGCCTCTGCCACCGCTGGTGAGGGCCGCCCGCGTGTGGTTCAGTGCCAAAGAAGAGAGCCCTGCCGGCGCCGTCCACGTGCAGGAGGACCTGCTGCACTCCCTGGAGGATCGTTGGCTCAAAGCTGGGGTCCTGAGGCGTTCGACGAAGAAAAACGCCATAGAAATAAACTTGTGGCGCTTCGGACGGATTTCTTGGATCCGCGGGCGCCCCCTGCGGCGCCTCCAGTGCCGCCCCTGGCGCGCTCCACGCGCCAGGGAGGGGGGTCCAGCGCAGATCCAAGAAATCCGCGCGGAGCGCCAAACATTTTATGTTTACGGCGTTTTTTCTTGTTCTACGGGATGGGGTCCTAAGGGCGAGGTGTCTCAAACATTGTAAATCCAGCCTCGAATCCCTTCTATCCTTGAGTGGACCCCATCATTCAGGGCCCCATCCGATTGGACCGCCGAGAGGAGGCGCTGGCCGCGCTGGAGCAGGGCCGGCACTGGCCGCAGGAGTTCGTGGTGAGCGAGTTGCAGCAGATCGTGAGCCGCTACGAGGATCGAGCGGGGCGAAAGGGTGCGATCCGGGAGGGGAAGAACACACAGGCACAACGAAACGTTGGGGGGGAGACGGGAGTCAAGAAAATAGAAGAACGTCCTGGGGAACTTGGGAGTTGTGTATTTTTTTTTCTGTTTCCCTGGGCCCCTTCAGTGATGCAGTGGAAACCCATGCCAAGAGACACCCCGTTTGTCTCCAGGGTGCCCTGGGTTTCTTGGGTTCCGATGGTCTTGCTGCGGAACGCGTGACGCTCCCACACCAGAAGGCAGTGGACGCCCTGGGGTCTCAGGGTTGGGTCTCTCGTGGACGAGCTCCTGCTGCAGGCAAGCAGGGCGGGCGGGGCGGAGTCTGCCGCGTGCAGCTGGCTTCGGCCCCGCCGTCCGGGCGCCATCCTCGAGCTGTGTGCTCGCGGCCCCCCCCTCCGCCGGGGAGGGGCGTGCAAACGGCACAGGCAGGAATGCTCGGAGGCTCTCGCGCGGATTTCCTGAAGGGCCCCTCGAGGGCCCTGCTCTTCACCCCCCATTTGGGTCCCCCCCCATTGCCACCCGCCCGACTTCATTTCTCCTCTGCCTTCGTCTCAGCCCAGCGCCGACCCCGGAGAAGGCCGCGCGGGAGCCTCCAGCAAGGAGTTTCTGAGTGCCTGCCGGTCGCCTGGCCCCCTCAGAGGAGGGCAGCCGGCGCGCCTTCGGCCTCGAGGGCAGCGTGCCCCTGGAGCCCGGCGGCGATCCTACCAGCCTGAAGCATACCCCTATCCGGAGGAGGAGAAGTTTCCGGACCTCTACCCCCTCCTTCGTTTCCCTCTTTTTGGGCCTCCCGGGAGGCCCTCGTCGCCACCGCCGGATTCGCCTCGAGATCCTGGTCAGAACGCACTGCAGGAGAGGTCCAGGGAGCAGCGGTATCGGTGCCTTTTGGATTCCCAACCTCTAGTCAACCCGCATAGTAAGGATGAGCAACTTTGCAAGGCTACCCTTGCATCCTTGCCCCTTCTCGGATTTCTTGGATCCGCGCCGGGCCCCCAGGCGGCGCCTCCGGCGCCGCCCCTGGCGCGCTCCGCACGCTAGGGATGGAGCTCCAGCTCAGATCCAAGAAATCCGCGCGGAGCGCCAACAATTTTCGTGAATGGCATTTGATCTTCCAATAGTAAAGATGAACAACTTTGCAAGGCTACCCGTGCATCCTTGCCCTTCGGGCCATACTTAGCGATTTGGGCCAGCCAGCCTCATTAGAAAACGTCAGCATAGTCCTCAAAGGCCCTTGCGTCCTTACCGCACCTCCTTATTCTACGGGTTGGCACTATCCCTATGGTTTCGGGGCTCAAGAGACGGGTGTCAATGCAAACGGGGGTCAGTCAGAGCGCCGTTGCCTACAGGATCCTGCAGGGCCATGGTCGCACTGACCCAGGCTTGGGTGCAGGATCCTGCAGGATCTTGCAGGACCATGCAGGATCATGCAAAGCATGACCGGCCCAGGTCTGGATGGACCCGGGTCGGAAGATCCCCGATGGTTGGCTTTGCTTTCTCCCGGTGCCGATCCCAAGGATCCCCTCCTTCTCTGAGGCGACGCCCCTCGGATTGGCATCGCCTTGGGCTTGCCGATTCCAGGGGTGCGGATATGCTCGAGGCTGGTCTCGGCATCGCTCGGACGTGTGCATTTTTTCTTCGGCGAGGACCATCGAGGAGCATCCTCGATCATTTGGCGAAAAAAATACCACGCACGAAACCGAAAAAAGCACAGGGAATGGACGTCCGAGCGATGGCGAGTGGTCAGGCGACAAGGGCGAGAACGACCCGGTGTGGAGGCGGCTGGCGCTCCGCGTGGCCGAGCGCTGCGGCGCCCCCGAGGGCAGCGACCTGCTCGCCGAGGTCGAGGCGCCCGGGCTCGCCGAGCACAGCGACAGGAGCCGGGGGAGGACGCAGAGGAGGAGGACGCAGAGGAGGACGCAGAGGAGGAGGAGGAGGAGGAGGAGGAGGAGGAGGAGGAGGAGGAGGAGGAGAAGGAGGAGGAGGAGGAGGCCCCCCCTCCCCCTCCAACTTGTAAAACAAGCCCGTCATCCTTCCGCGGCCGGTCCCTCCGCTCGCCGGTGGTCGGCCTCCTGTGGTCCTCGCTCCCGTCGCCCCGGAGCATCGCTCGGCCCCCCCGCACGCTGCCCAGGTGCGCTCCGGGAGCTGGCGCTCGACTCTTAGCCCACGCCCACGCGGCCAGGAAATCCCGGCGGCCAGGCGTCGCAGCTTTCTCGAGCCGTTCGTTTGTGCCTCCTTGCTGTCGGGCCTGGGGACCCTGGCAGATGGACCCGGCTCGGAGAAGGAGGCAGAGAGGTGGGGTCCAGGGCTCGGGCGTGATCTTTTACGATGCTGCATGTGTTTCGCTACGTCGGATCTCGTGGAAGAGCTTGGCGCTGCCAGGATGATGTGAGGTCTTACACTCAGAGGAGAAGGAGGAGGAGGAGGAGGAGGAAAACGTACCCATACTGCTACCTTTCCCGCGTCTTCCTTTTCTGGAGCCTCCTGCGAGGCCCCCGTCGCCACCGCTGAATTCGCCTCGAAATCTTGGTCAGAACGCACCCACAGAGAGGTCTGGGGAGTAGCGGTATCGGTGCCTTTCGGTCTGCCCAGTAACGGTCATACACGGTCCATGGGTGCCTGGCTGTACTCATACCATAGACACGCCAGCGGCGACGTAGGTAACGGCGATGTGGGCTGCGGTATTGTAAGTGGGGGTGGTTCGTGGCCGACCCATGGTGGGAAACCGTGATTCGCGGCTTCCTACAACTCTCCGTGCCGTCTTTGCTCGATACATTCGCGTGTCTGAAATGGAGGAGCGTGTGGTGCAATCCGTTCTGCGCGAGGCGTTGCCCAAACCAGATCCCCAGCATCGCCATTCACCAGCATCGCCGTTCGCGTGGCCTTGGTCCTAGGCCTCACACATGGCGCGCTCCAGGAGAGGGGGAGCGGTCGCAGTCCTAGAGGTTGACACCAACACCACAGTCGGCGGTGTTCCTCCACCGAGGGAAGAAGATCCCGATCTCGGTGATGGGGGTAATATTCTGGCTTCCAAGGTGACCGAACTATGTCCACCAGCACCGACATCTAGGATCATCTCCCCCTTCTGGAGGCAGCCCCCTTGTCTTCGTGTTGGTACCCATTTCCAGGCCTCCAAAGCGGGCCTTGCCCTCGAGGCTCGCACTGGGCGGCCGCCTCTTCTGCGGCGGAGGGGGGCAGCGGCGAGGGGCGGCGGCGGCCCGCGGGAGAGCATGGCGAGCGGGGCCGCCTCCGCCGGCGAAAGGCGGGGGGGTTCGAGAGTCCCCAGGGGCTTCGAGAGGGTTCAGGGGGTACTCCTCCTCCTCCTCCTCCTCCTCCTCCTCCTCCTCCTCCTGTTTACCTTCGTCCTCCTCGTCATCGCCGTCCGTCTTTTCGTCCTCATCGTCGGGAGGCAGGGTCGGACACCCGGCGGGAGCAGGACAGCGGGTCCAGGCGAACGCAGGCAGACAGTTTCTCGGGTTGGGAGGCTGGGGGATCGGAGAACCGAGGATGTCGTTGGCACGCAGGCGGCCGAGGGCATCACTCGCTGCATATGGACGCTGTTGCTTATGCCCTTCCTCTTCCCGAGGCCCTTCCTCCCCACACGATAGTGGTTCTCCTCGCGAATGGGTCCTTCGCAGAGGGTGTCTCGAACAGGTGCGCAGGAGTTCGTGCAATCGTTCGTGCTGCATCGTTCTGGATGCGGGCAGGCTGCGTTGCATTTGGCGTCGTCTTTTCGCGAGAGAGGCCACGCGCCCTGAGCCACAGGATGGACCATCGCCGTTTTTGTTCCCGACCCCCTTGCGAAAGGCCCCCGTTGCCCGGAGCCGCAACAGTGCCCAAGGGATGGGAACATGTTTGGTTTTCAGGGCTTCCAGAACCCGCCATGTGATGCCAGGGTGCGAGGGGCTGGACGGTCTTGCGCGGTCCCTGGGGGCGCGGTTGTGTTCCAGGGCTTCCAGTACATTGGGGTCCGAGTAAACGGGGTCGCAGGACCGCGCCGCATCGCCGATGCATCGGCGATGCGGCTCGGATGCGGAGTTTGGCTTTCTCGACGCCGACGTGGCCGATGCATCGCCAACGCCGCCGATCCACGCCGCCGATGCATCGGTAATGCATCGGCGATACAGCGAGATCCTCCGACCCGATCTACGCCGACCCCATCTGCGAGGCCCCTAAGTATGGGTGCGTGGCTGCTCCTGATGGGGTTTCGCGGTGCGGGTAGCATTTTCATATGAGCGTTTGAAGATTTGTTAAGTGCCATCCCTGGGACTCGCACCCTGCGTTTCATCAGGCAAGCCCTTCCTCGTCAAACCGGGTGGTTCGTAATTTGCAGAGTTCGCGTCGATGCTCTGCCCGCCCCTCAGGGCCCGTCCGCCCGATCCGCGTGTGAGAAGTTGGCCGCCCGACCCGCCCGCCAGGGTCTGCCCGTTCACATGCTTGGACGTCCGCCCGCCCGATGCAATGCCCCGCCCGCCCGACCCGCCCATCAATGAGGATCCGCCCGCGCGACCCGCCCGTCTGGGCCCGCTCGCGCGACCCGCGCATCGGGTCCCGCTTGTCGAAATGGTTGTTCCTCGCGCGACGTGAGCGAACCGTCTGGAGTGGCAGGTGAGGTTCCATTGAAAGTCTAACCGTTCCCCCCCCCCCACGGTACCCAGTGTGCATTTTCAACTGGAGTGCTCCTCCTGGGGCTCAGACTGGATGTTCTGTCGCCTCAGGATGGGCTGCTGGCCCCCGAACTAGCAAAACAGAGACTCCCGCCTGATACTTCTTCACAACTGATTCAGTTCAAGATTGCACTCGCGCTGGGTGTCCTCACAATTTACACAGGAATCGCGGTCTCGCGTGGGACACCCTCGCAATTGATTCAGACGCCGTGCCCTCGACACTCGGGAATCAGGAATCAGGCTCTCCGTTTGGACTCTCGCTGGCTCGACCATGCCGTCTGAGCCCGCCCGACCGACCCGCCCGTCAGGGTCCGATCGTCCGACCCGCCCGTGTGGTTCTGCCGTTTGTCTTCTTGCTCCTGCCCCCCTCCTAATCTCTGTTTTGCTCCAGTCTCCCTCCCTTCTGTCTCTTCCCTCCTCCCTCCCTTGCCCTGTATTAGGGGCCGTGCCAACTACATGTCGCAGGACAGGAAGATTTACCCCCAGGGGGGGTACGATCAAAGACCAAGAGGGCGGGTGTCCAGAGTTTGGGTTTACATGTTCCATGTTTCCGCAATGACGCGCGAGCAAATGATACCGAACAGTATTGAAACTACCGTTGCATATCAAGTACTCAGCAATGAATCGCGTTGGACCCCCATGTATGCGCTTTGGCGCTCTCGCGTCGGCGGCGGCAACATTTCTTTTCAAATTGAGGTTCACGCTCAAGCGTTTCGGGGGGGGGCCCAAACCGGCCCTCAAGCAATAACGACAAGGCTCCCGTGTGGCACGTCTTCACAATTTAGTCCAAAAGGCCCTGGCCAGAGAGAGCCCCAATCTCAGGACGGGACTACAGGGGGGTTCCTTCAGAGCAGTCTTGCCGCTATGGCCGCTATGTGCGGATGCCCGTTTCACTTGTGACGTCGTCGCACTTTAGCACTACAAGGGGATCGTTCAGAATCAGATTGCTGCTACTCGCGGATGCTGAAACGGCATGTTCGTTTGAGACACCTTCGCAATTCAGCACCGCAGGAGGGTCTTTCAGAGTACCATTGTTACTACTCGCGGGTGCTGGAACGGCAGTTTCGCTTGAGACTCCCTCGCAAGAGCAGTCTTGCCGTTACATGCCGCGGCCCCAGGACGCTCCAGGGACATGTGTTCGGGGAGGGTGTTTCTTCTCCCCGCCCCCAGGAGGCCCCAGGAGGCAGTTTCTGTATCGGGACGCGTGTTCGGGGAGCGGTCGTCGGCCCTTCCGCCTCCCGGGAGGCCCCGGGAGAAGCAGATACGTGGTCGAGGGGTGTTTTCTCGCCCCCCCCCCCGCCTCAGGAGGCCCCAGGACTCGGGGTTCGTGCTCGGGGAGTGGTGTTCGACCCCCCTGGAGGCTTCGCCCACCGTAGGCTTCGCCGCCCCTCTCCTGGTGATCGAATCCTTTCTGTGGTTTACGTATGTTCCTGTAGGTTGCCCTTCTCCTGAGGCTCGAATCCTGTGTGCTTTACGTCTGTTCCTGTACGTGTGCTCCTCGACTGGGGCTCGAATCTGGTGTGTTTACGTATGCTCCTATAGAAGGCCCTTCGACTGGGGCTCGAATCCCAAGTGTGTTACGTCTGTTCCTGTATAGGTTGCCCCTCGCATTGGGCTCGAACTCCTCGTGTTTCGGCTCTCCACCGCTCCCCGAAGTCGCGCTGACTTTTTAACATGGCGTACCAGCTGAAAATGTGAAAGTGCCACAAGAGGGGTGCCTCTTCCTCCTCCTCCTCCTCCTGCTCCTCCTCCTCCTCCTCCTCCTTATCCTGCTCCTCCTCCTCCTCCCCCTCCTCCTTCTTCCCCCCTCGTCCTCCTCCTCCTCCTCCTCCTCCTCCTCCTCCTCCTCCTCCTCCTCATCCTCATCGTCCTCCTCCTTGGGCGGGAGATCCCTCGGCCCGGGGGTTAAGGCCGCCGATTCCAATCACTTCGGACCGTTCAGGAACTACTTGGGGATGGTTACAAACACTGGATCATGCAAACGTGAAGGGTTCTTTTGCCAAGTCCACAAAGAACACACTGGATTGCAACCGTTGGAAGTTTTTGGTATGATAAGCAGTTCATAGCTTGTTGAGGAAAATCCAAAGAGAAAATGTTTGAGAAGAAGCTTCAGAGAAGCTTCTGGGAAGCTTCTGGGACACCTCTGGGAAACATTTGAGAAAACTCTGGGAAGCCCCTCGAAAGCCTCGTAGAAGCCTGTAGGGAGCCTCGTGGAAGCTTCTGAGAAGCTTCTTGGGAGCTTCGCAGAAGCCTCGTAGAAGCTTCTGAGAGGCTTCTGAGAAGCCTGGACTTGTGGTGGCGCACGTTTCGTCATCTTCCGCTTCTGGTTATTTGTTCGTTCTTCCTCCTCCGGTGTTTTTTTCCAGTTGCCATTCTGGCCCAAATTTCGGAGCCTCAGCTCGAGTGAACAAAATTGCACTTGTTGCACTGAAGAGCTTCCGAAGAGCTTTTGCATATCTCATGAAGGGTGTCTGAAGAGCCGTTGAAAGCTTCACGTCAGACAATGTAAGGGAATACACTGCGTCCAGAAGCTTTTTTGAGTGCCTTCACCTAGTCAAAACCATAGTCAAGCGCATCCAAACGTGGCAACCACTTCGGCCCGATCGCAACCGGTTGTGATTCGCCCCAAGTGGTCGACGATCAGTCCGAAGTGGATGCTATCGGGCCCGATCGCATATCTGTTTTTTGTTCATACAGCTCCTCCATTGGAGGTGCATCATGATGGATGCATGTGGCATGTAGAAAAATGGCCCTCAGGGTAACTTAAAAAACGAACGAGTTCTGTTGATCACCCCCCTCCGGTGCCCCCCTGTGTCTTTTCAATTAAAGTGACCTTCCCGGGGTTCGCATGTTTTTACGATGGGCCTCAGAATCGGTTGCTGGCCCCGGAGCTACCACAACAACGACTCCCGCCTGACACTGCCCCACAATTTATGCAACATCGCGCTCCCGCGCGGGATTCCCCTACACTTTATGATGACATCTCGCTCTCGCGTGGGATTTTCTCCCTATCCGTAAGGGCTTCGCCCCCTGCCGCCGGCCCCCTCTCTCGGAGAATGGGCCATGGAAAAGCTAAGTCATGAGGCCTTGGCGCTGTCGTGAAGCAGTATCGAAACTTCATGCGAAGCCGATTCGCAATCAGCAAAACCAACTGATCACAAGAGGGGTTACCACACCTGGCGATTGGTAAGACGTGTATGGTTTACGGGCTTGGTTACCACACCTTGCGATTAAAGGGCCGAGGGAGTTCTCGCAGTTTGGGTTACCACGCCTTGCGATGGATGTGCGTGAAGGGTGGCACCGAATTTCAGAAATGTGGCAAATCCCCTGTGTTTTTGGACCCTGACCCCGCGGATCTGCGTGAGGGGTGGCACCGAATTTCAGAAATGTGGCAAATCCCTGTGTTTTTGGACCCTGACCCCGCGGATCTGCGTGAGGGGTGGCACCGAATTTCAGAAATGTGGCAAATCCCTTGTGTTTTTGGACCCTGACCCCGCGGATCTGCGTGAGGGGTGGCACCGAATTTCAGAAATGTGGCAAATCCCTGTGTTTTTGGACCCTGACCCCGCGGATCTGCGTGAGGGGTGGCACCGAATTTCAGAAATGTGGCAAATCCCTGTGTTTTTGGACCCTGACCCCGCGGATCTGCGTGAGGGGTGGCACCGAATTTCAGAAATGTGGCAAATCCCTTGTGTTTTTGGACCCTGACCCCGCGGATCTGCGTGAGGGGTGGCACCGAATTTCAGAAATGTGGCAAATCCCATGTGTTTTTGGACCCTGACCCCGCGGATCTGCGTGAGGGGTGGCACCGAATTTCAGAAATGTGGCAAATCCCATGTGTTTTTGGACCCTGACCCCGCGGATCTGCGTGAGGGGTGGCACCGAATTTCAGAAATGTGGCAAATCCCCTGTGTTTTTGGACCCTGACCCCGCGGATCTGCGTGAGGGGTGTCGATTTCGAGCCCCCCCAGCAATTCAGACAACGCGCCCAGGGGGTGCTAAAAATCCTGTTTGGGCCTCCCCCCCCTCGCGCGGTCAATCAACTAGTTACAGTAACCAGCAAGAAGCAGAACTGTAACACTGGAAACTACAACCTACGACTGGTACAGGAAACTGCGAATCACGGGCCTACAGCCTGGTGGCCCCACAAGGGGTCCAGCGGATTTATTCAGACGCCGCGCCCTTGATATTCAGCAATCAGTCTCTCGCTTGGACCTACTAGTTACTTGGACATCGTGCAATCGCTCGGGAGTTCCTCGCGATTCACGCAGGTCTGACGCTTCAGCGACCCCCGCGCTCGACACAGCCGTCTGTACCCGCCCGTTAGGGTCCGCCCGCCCGACCCGCCCGTGAGGTTCTGCCGCTCGTTTTCCTCTTCCCAACCGCCCCCCTGCCAATCTCTCGTGCTCCATCCTTCCCCTCTTCCCCCCTTGTCCCTGCCATCCTCCCTCCTTCCAATGGTTTAGGGGCTGTGCCAAGTACATGTGGCAGGTAAGGAAGATATTCCCCCTAGGGGGGTACGATCGAAACCGCAGATATCGAGTGTCTGGGTCAGACATGATGAACGGCACGCGAACAGGTAAATGCGAGCAATGTTGCAATGGTTGATGTTGGTGTGTTTTCTCGTTTTTGCCCCGCGACCCATCCGCGCCTACCCTTCGCGACCCACCAGCGCCGCGACCCTCCCGCGACCCACCCGCTCCGCGACCCACCCGAGCCCCCTCACTCGTATCCGCAACTGCGGGGCGCTAGGTGGCCCTCCGTACACTGAGCACAGACCAGGATAGTCCTGGGCCCTCCCGAGCCACGTCAGTGGAAAGGGGGCGGGCTCGGGGGGGGAAGTCTCAACCCCGAATCTCCAAGTCATCGTTCATGCGGGGCGCGAGTGCCTCATTTGTGCTGAAGCGCCTGCTGTTTCGCCGAAGTGCCGGCGATTACATGTCGATGCGGACCGCCCCCGCCCCCCCCTCTTCCGGCCCCCTCGCAGGACCACGCCCCTCGTAGTACCCACCAGTTCAGCTCTGCATGAGGCTTCGCCTCCCCCGATCCGCATTTACGGCTGGGGCTTCGCTGTATCTAGTGGGTGTCGGCTTCCAGGGAGCATGCGAGCGACGCAGACAAACAGGTTCGATTGCGCGGCCACTCGCGCGACAGTTACCTGCGTTACAGTCTGCCTGCGTTACGGTTGCACGCCATAGTAAGGATGCGTTGCTTATCAAGGCTGTCCTTGCGCCCCTGCTTCTTCGGCCTACCCTGAGCCAGTGTTTGTTGACTTCGAGGAGCCCTACATGGTAGATGGTGCTTCCGAGGGCCTTGCATCCTTACCTCGGTTCCTTAACCCTGGTCTTCGCCTGCAGACGGCACGAGTGGCGCCGTCGTTCCCACTGAAGCGTGCCGCGCTGGCGGCCCGCGGAAGCCACCGCGTGAGGCCGCCGTTCCGTCGGGCGTCGGTCCCCTCTCTCCTTGTCTCCTCGTCGCTCGCCTGCTGGGCAGGACCACGCCGGACGAGGGCGCGGAGCAGACGCACGAGGCCGGGGGAGGCAGACCCACACAGCTGCTCCACGGAGCTCTCCTGGGGTGTGTGCCGGCTCCTGCCTCGAGAAGACCAGTTTCAGACATGTGCTGCGCAGTTCCCTTGGGGATCGTTTTCTGATTCATTGTTTTGCCGATCGGCGCGGGCCCTCGCACCCCCCCCTTCCCCCCTTTCCCTTGGAGTAGCTCTTGGATGTTTTTGGAGCCTGTTTCACGCAGGTGGAGTCTCTCCCCCATGGGACGCAATGCTGCAAACAGTCGCACTAAACAGAGGTCCGGAGCCAGACCCCCCCCTCCCCCCCTTCCGCCCAATGTCGAAACGCCGAGTCAGAAAACATTCACTTGTCGATGTGGTCCTCTAGGTTTGGGCGACGTTGCGTGCCAAGTACCTGTTGGCGCTCCCCCTCCAATGTCCGCCATGGTGGAGTTTCCGAGTCAAAACCGCTCAGACCGCGTCTCGCTCTGCTTCGGAGGTGGAGGAGGAGGTGGGAGGAGGAGCAGGAAGGAGGGAGGAGGGAGGAGGGAGGGAGGGGGGGGGGAGGAGGGAGGAGGAGGGAGGAGGGAGGGAGGAGGGGAGGAGGAGGAGGATGAGGAGGAGGAGGAGGAGGAGGAGGAGGAGGAGGAGGAGGAGGAGGAGGGGAAGCAGGAGGAGGAGGAGGAGGAGGAGGAGGAGCTCCCTTCTCTTGAGAGGCCGCCGCGGGCGGCGCCGCGAAGGCGGGGGCGCCGGCCCCCGGCCAAGGCTACGAGAGCTTCCGGGAGCTGCTCGACAGCCCGCAGGCCGGCAAGGCCCACCGGCGGCGCAGGTGCAGCGTCGTTGAACCGACCCCGGTCCCATGTCCCCATCCCGAGCCCGACGATCTCAGCATCCCAGTTGCGGACATGCCCCTCGAAGCCTGAAGAGAGCACTTAGGCTATATTCCCCTAAAGTGGGGGTACGTCAGCCGGTGGAGCTCGAGGCCTTCTAGATGGGGTCTGAATAGATGGGCTCGGAGGATCGCGCCGCATCCCCAGTGCATCGGTCATGCGGCTCGATGCGGAGCCCGATTTTCTCCATGACGACGTCGCGGATGCGTCGCCGACGTCGACGATGCATCGCCGATTCATTGGCGATGCGGCGCGATCCTCCAACCACATCTAGTCGGACCCCATTTAGGAGGCCTCCAAGGGCCCAGGCCACGGAAGTGGGGATTCGACGAACAAAAGACGGCATAAACATACATTGGTGGCGGTCCGCGCGAATTTCTAGGCTCCGTGCTGGCCCCCCGGCGACTCTCCGGCGCTGCCCCTGCCGCGCCCCTGCTTCTCCTTCCTCAAGGGGGGGTAAGTCGGCCAATGGAGCCCAGGCCACGGAAGTGGGGATGGGGATCGGTGAAACGATTCTCAGGAGGTCGGTGGACTCGCGGGACCACGACCTGCGGCCCGCGCTGTGGAGGGCGCTGCCGTTCGGCCGCTTCTTCGGCAGGCGGGGGGGGGGGGCGGCCGTGCACGGTAAGCTTCTTGGCGGCGAGATCCGAAGCTTGCCCTCGCCGATCAACGGTTCTCCTCCTCCTCCTCCTCCTCCTCTCTCCTCCTCCTCCTCCCCTCCTCCTTCTCCTCCTCCTCCCTCCTCCCCTCCTCCCTCTCCTCCCTCCTCCCTCCTCCTCCTCCTCTCCTCCTCCTCCTCCTCCTCCTCCTCCTACTCCTCCACCGTCTCCTCCTACTCCTCCTCCTCCTCCTCCTCCTCCTCCTCCTCCTCCTCCTCTTCCTCCTCCTCCTCCTCCTCCTCCTCCTTCTCGGACGGCGACGACGACGACAGGCAATTGGCGGGCGGCGAGCAACTTGTCAACGGCGGGGGAAGGATTCGGAATTCGTCGAGCACGTGGCGAAATCCGAACCCTACCCCCCCTCGCATCGATTCGGGGGAATCGATGGTTGGTGGGAGCACAAGTGTTCCACACCAGTTTCCAGGCGCTACGGGTGTTCCACACAAGTTTTCGCCCGGTTTCGGGACCTTGGGCATTCAGAGATCAATCCGGCTCGACAAATGGTGGGGTCTGGGGCTCTGGTCTGGTATTGTCGCGATGATGCAATTCGTTTGCAACGTCGGATATCAAGGCTGGTGGGTCCTGTGAACGGCAGGTTCGTTTTCTAACCGTTTTCCTTAAATCGATGCCTCTTGATCACGGAGAAAAAGCTGCGACATACATGTCACCAAAATTGAAATTAGCCTGGCGACAGACCCAACCATACGCAGTTGTGAGTAACGCAGTTGTGAGTATCGTCTTCGGTGGAGCTCCCCATGGGACCACGAAACGTGTGAGGAATGGGGAGCGGTGGGCGCATGCGAACGCGTGTGAGGAATGCGCCTAAATCGGCGCGGTAGCTCCATGCGAGCGCAGCCATTGGGGCCTTTGGTAGAACTCCTTAAAGGGCCACGACACGTGTGAGGGTGTGCCTGACAGGGCGCGGTGGTGCAATGCGAACGCAGCCTTTGGGGAATTCGGTGGAGCTCCCATGGGCCACGAAGCGTGTGAAGCGTGTGAGTCGTGTGCCGCCACGAAGCGTGTGAGGTGTGTGCCGAAATGGGAGCGGTGGTGCCACGCGAGCGCAGCCACTTGGGCCCTTGGTGGGGCTCCCTTGGGGCCACGAAACGTTTGCGAGGTTTGCCGAAATGGGTGCGACGGTGCCATGCGAGCGCAGCCACTAGGGCCCTCGGAGGAGCTCCCCTGTGGGGCCATGGACCGTATATGACTGGTGTCGAAATTGGCGCGTTGGTGCAATGCGAGCGCAGCCACTAGGGCCTTCGGTGGAGCTTCCTCTGGGGCCACGAAACGCCTGAGGGGTGCGCTGAAATAGGTGCGGTGGTGCCATGCGAGCGCAGCCATTGGGGCCCTCGGTGGAGCGTCCTCTGGGGTAACGAAACGTTTGCTGGGTCTGCCGAAGCGGGTGCGGTGGTGCCATGCGAGCGCAGCCACTTTGGCCCTCGGTGGAGCTCCCATGTGGGGCCACAAACGTGTGAGTGGAGTGCCGAGATGGGCGCGGTCGTGCCATTCGAGCGCAGCCATCGGGGCCTTCGGTGGAGCTCCCTCTGGGGCCACGAGGCGTGTGAGATGTGTGTTGAAATGGGCGCGGTGTTGCCATGCGAGCGCAGCCACTGGGGCCCTCTCTGGAGTTCCCTGTCAGGCCACGATACGTGTGTGGGGTGCGCCGACATGTGCGCTTCGGTGCCATGCGAGCGCAGCCACTGGGGCCCTCGGTGGAGCTCCCTGTGGTACAGCAAAGCGTGTGAGGAGTGCGCCGAGACGGTTGGGTGGTGCGGAGGGCAGAGGCAGGGATGGAAGGATGGGGAGGAGGGGCAGCGGGAGGAGGATCGCGGGGCGCCGTCTCTTCAAAGCTAGGACCCAACACCACAGGGTGGTTGGGAAAAAACGTGGTTCACCGAAACGTCTTTTGCAGTTTGGGGATCCGAGGGGCGTTTGAAATAAGTTCGAAAACGGTTCGGGCCCTGGGAGAAAAGAGTCATCTGGACCTGGCCCCTGTATCAGGGGAAATGCCAACCATACAACGCACAAAAGCGGAGCTGGAAACGTTCCCAAAAATGGCGCCGGAAGCGATACACACATCGAACAACGAACGCGGTAAGCACAAACTAATACATTGTTCCAAACAAGTACCACTAAGTACCAGTGCCAGAACAGTTCGACGCACGCTTGCCAGACATCTGTCGCTCCAATTTTCAGGATATTTGGGCACGGGAGGTCCAAACCACGGATCCCTGGGCCTATGTGGGCCAGGTTTTCATTCCGAATTGTGCTCTAACTGTCCTACAGGGCCCGCTCCCGGTTTGGTCGGAGCATCGGACCTGGACTCCGCACATGCTGGCACGTGCGGCAGCCTGGCCTCGAAGCCGGTCCACCACAGGGCTGGCACACGGCTGACAAGTGCTGCAGCATGGCTTCACGACGTGCTGCAGCCCGGCAGCACGTGGCGGCACGTGCTGCAGCCTGGCTGCACGTGCTGCAGCCCGATCTCGAAGCCAGCTCGCGACGCAGCCCGCGCCTGGAAGCTGGCCCGGGCTCCCCGCACGGCCCGGGTGCCGTCCGTCTGTGCCTCCCGGGTGGGGTCGGAGTGGAGGGGGTCGGCGGATCGCGCCGCGTCGCCGGGGCGCCGCGCCGATGCGGCTCGATGCGGAGCCCGATGCGCTTCGCGCCGGCGTCGCCGACGCGTCGCCGGTGCACCGGCGGTGCGGCGCGATCCTCCAGCCCCCGCTGCGCTCCGGCCCCACGCAGGAGGCCTCCAGGAGCAGGGGCGCCAGCCCGCACGCGTCCGAGGCGGACGAGGGCGAGGGCCTGCCCGGAGGGCAGCCCTCGTGCCCGAGCGGCGGCGGCCGTTGGGAGGAGCGGGGGCAGCGACGGGGGGCCCGGGCATCGGTCGCTCGGGCGTGTGCGTCTCGTCACGGCGGGGGCCCTGGAGGAGCACTCTGAGGACCACCGAGAAAAGGCACGCACGAAACCAGACGTAACGTCGCACACGGAGTGGACGTCCGAGCGTCGGCAAGGGGGGGGGGCTCAAGTCGGGCATGCCCCTCCACAGGAGGACTATGCAAGAATCGTGCGAACAGAGTCTGGTGACGATGATTCGCGCTCCTTTCTGATTCTCTTTGGATTCGATGCGGCAATTGTTATTTTTTCTTCTGAAATCCGCCTCTAGGAGGACATGCCCGACCTGCGGGTGGGCTGCTCTGCATTTTTTGGGGGGGCGCTCCTGCCCTGGGCGTGGCTGCCTGCTCGGCTGCTCCGACTTGCAGGTTCCGCGCGGCTTCGACGCGGGCTCGGCAGGGGCTGGGCACGGGCTCGACGCGTGCGACGCGGATTCGACAGGGATGCGGTGCGGAAGGCTGGCGCGACCAGACAGACGAAGGTCACATGGCAAAGGGGGAGCCCCGAGAGCTTGGCGCGGCTGTCAGCTTGTCTCACCGGGCGTCGTCGCCCGTTGCCGGGCCCACGGACCCCGCCCGATGGAGCGGGCTCGAAACATGTGTCAGAAAGGGCATGCGTGGTGATATGTTGCGATGCTGCAGCGACGCGAGGGGATATGCATCGCCCCCAATCGCCCCTTGTTCGCCGATATAGGGGCCCGACAGCCGACAGCCCGCCCCGCCCAGGAGCATGCGGCTCCTCCACCAGGGGGCCCGTCGCCGACTTCTGAGCGACGTGGTGCCGCTTCCAGGTCGATGCTTCCCTCCCTCAAGCTGGTCCTCTGCCGGTGTTCAGGTCACAACTCGGGCCTCCGGCGGCCGTTCGGGACGATCTGGGCAACCCCGGAGAGCTCTCGGCCCGGCGAGGCGCAGGGCCAGGGAGCCCACGAGAACCGGCGACCTCGTCGGGAGCCTCGAACCTTCGATGTCCCTCAGGGCCCATAACGCCCCCCCCCCCTCCTGGAATGGGCGCAGGGGTTGCCCAGAGGATGAGGGGGCTCACGGGCTAGTGGGTTGCAGATCCCACGGGCGGCTCAAGGGGATGCCGTCCTCGCGCCCCAAGGGCACAGCGTCCTCACGCCCCTCCCCCCTTCTGCCCCAAGTGCCCAGGGGCACAACGTCCTCACGTCCCCCCCCCCCTCTCACCGTGGCCCCTCGAAAGGAGGAGCGCGCGGCCTCGGGCGCGCCCCCGCCGCGCCGCGAGCTCCTGGCGCGCTGCGCGCAGGCCGTCTGCGGCGCGGCCCGCCCGCCCGGGCGGGGCGCCAGCGGCCGCGGGGGTGCCGGGGGGCGGTACGACGATCCGTCGGTGCGCAAGGACGGCTCGGCCACGCGCATGAGGGGGGCCGTCAGGAGCGAAAGAGGAACGTACTCGGCTGCCAGTCCGTGGGTGGAGTGCGAAGGGGCTGGCCTGCTCAGAGGGCCTGGAAGTCTCCCTGGCCTTCTGAGAAGTGTTCTATAAGCCGTCCCCGAAGACACGGAAAACTCCTCAGGAGGCTGGCCGCCTTCTGAGCAGGCCGTCTCGTTCTCATTCCCCCCCCCTCCTTTGCCGCCGACGTGCACGCACGTGAATCCACGATGGTTTCGGGACTACGCATTGTGCAAACGTTCGCATCACGCGGCCGGTCTCGCGGATTGGGGGGCGCCAGGGGGCCGCACCCGTCAAGTCATGAAAAAATCACGTCGGGAGGTGATTCGCTGTTTTCGGTCTCAAGGGGCCCGTACCGAGCCTCGGGGCCGTCATTGAACGACGTGTGATGCGCCGTGAAAAAATATTGACGAAAGGTTTGGGGATATTCTCGGCCTCTTGGGGCCCTCGCCGGGCCCTGCACCGTCAGCAAGCGGCTCGGGATGAAGACGCTGGTCCCAGGGAATGGGTCCGAAGAGACCTTGAGGTCCAGGCGTTGTTTTTCTTTGCAAGAAAACGATTCGGGAGGACAACACCGGTCCCAGGGAATGGGTCCGAGGTGACCTTAAGATCCAGGCGTTGCACTTTTTACACCTGGCGTTCTCGCAGGGTTTCGGGCCTCGGGACTCTCACGGGTCAATGCGACATTTGTTCTTCGTGCGATGTTGAATTTCTTTCGCAACGTCGGCTCTCAGGCAAAGATGCTGATGCCGCCGCTTGTCCTGGAGGGTCCTCGTCACCACGGCTGGATTCGCTCTGGCATTCTGGTCAGAGCGCGCCCCTGGGGAAGGTCCGGGGAGCAGCGGCATCGGCGAGTTTTCGTCGCCCTTAAGGACTCCAACATGTCCCAGGACTCCACTCTGTCCCAGCTCGCTGGGGCGTCGCCGCTGCCGGCGGGGCCGAGGGCGGACGCCCCGGCGCCGGCAGAGGGCGCGGCCCGCGCCTCCGCCAGGCTGCCGAGCTCGAGGCCCGCGCCGATGATGCGCCAGTGCTCGGACGGCCAGCTGACGGCGCCGGCGGTGGCGCCGCGCCTCCACGCCGTGGCGTCGCGCCACCTGCGAGTGGCCACGACGGGCGGCATCTCCAGCAGGACGCCGAGCGGCGACAGCCAGGCCACGGCGCTGGGCCACAGGCGAGGGGCCACGACGGGCGGCATCTCCAGGACGCTGAGCGGCGACAGCCATGGCACCCTCGGCACGGCCGCAACGGAGCCGCCCGGCGTCCAGGGCGGCAGCGACTCCGAGACCCCCCCATCCAGGAGGCCGGGCGGCGCCCGCGGCCCCCGCGGCAGGCGCGCGGTCTCCCCGCTCTTCGGCGGCGCTGTCCCCGCCGCGCCGCTGCCGAGCGCCCCAGTGCCCCTTCGCCTCTCCCGCCGCGCCTCGGGGGAGCCCGCCGCGGCCGCGGCGCCCTGAGCGGCGCCGCTCCTCGGGGTGCAGCTGCCGGAGCCCACCAGCCGCAGCCGGCCGCGGCCGTGGCGGCGGCCGGACCCGGCCCGCCGCGCCTCGGGGGAGCCCGCCGTGGTCGCAGCACCCTGAGCGGCGCCGCTCCTCGGGGCGCAGCTGCCGGAGCCCACCCGCCGCAGCCGCAGATGCGCTCGCGGCGGCCCGACGGCCGCCGGGGGCACAGGGCTGCCGCCCCGCGGCCGCGCCGCTGCATGAGGCCGCCGGCGGGCGCCCGCCGCGGCCGCGGCGAAAGGCCTCGGCCGCCCCTCGGTCGGGCAGGGGGCTCGCGCCTGGGAGTCGGGCGAGCGCGCGCGCCCGGGCGGAGCGCGGCGGAGCGCGGCGGAGCGCGCGAGAATGACGGGGCGGCGCTCCTCGGGGAGGGCGGGGAGCGTGGAGGTGGGCTGCGGGGGTGGGGAGATATCAATAATAATAAGAATAAGAATAATAAGAATAATAATAAGAATAAGAATGAGAAGAAGACGAAAACCAATAACAATCAAACAAATACGACGAATACTAGTAATAAGAAGAAGACGAAGAAGACGAACAAGAGGAGGAGGAGGACCAGTGTAAACCCAAGAGGCATCAACGATGTTGGAATCAACCCTCTCTCCAAGCTCCCTCTTCATGAGCCCCTACAGCGGTTCATTTCTACTGAGGGCTGCCTCGTTGGAAGACAACTGTTTGAAGACCCTGAAGCATGCCAAGCTATTGTTCTTGGGATTCCAACGCCACGGATCAACCTGATTGCTGCGTCTTGACGATCCTGAATCGTGCCAGGACGCCATTCATGGGACTCGAACTCCGCGAATCAGCACAACTTGAATCCTTCCAAAACGCCATCTCTGGTACGCTGATCAGGGGAATCCGTGAAACCCTTGCAAATCTGCAACTCTCACTTTGTAAAGGAACTGCCCTCAATCCGTGAAGCTTTTGCAAATGTTTAAAACGAATGTGCGCGGCACGAAGGCGAGAACCACATGTTGAACACGACTCGCCTTCAATCCGTGCAACTCTTGCAATTTGTTGAAACGAATGCGCGCGGCGCTAAGGCGAAAGCCATTTTTTGTAAAGGGAACCGCCCTCAATCCGTGAAGTTATTGCAAGTTGTTAAAACGAGTGTGCGCGGCGCGAAGGCGAGAGCCACATTTTGAAAACGACTCGCCCTCAATCCGTGAAGCTTTTGTAAATATTTGAAAGCGAATGCGCGCGGCGCTATGGCGAGAGCGACATTTTGCAAACGACCCTCCGTCCATCTATGAAACAGTTGCAATGCTTCAAGCTACAGAGTCATAAGTGGTGAGGAAGTCTCAGGCGAGACGTCCGGCCCGCCTTAAAAACTGGCTTCGGGGTGCGAGAGGGAGAAGTTATTTAGAAGGGAAAGGAATGGAGGAGGAGGGGGAGGAGGGGGAGGAGGAGGAGGAGGAGGAGGAGGAGGAGGAGGAGGAGGAGGAGGAGGAGGAGGAGGAGGAGGAGGAGGAGGAGGGGGGAGGAGGATGAGGAGGTGGAGGAGGGGGAGGAGGAAGAGAAGGAGGAGGAGTGGGATGGGGAAAAGGGGCATGGGGTGAGGAGGAGCAGGTACCACTCACTGTCTACTCAAAATTACCAGTGTGCTGCGGCCGAGACGTGAAGAGAAGAGCCACGCGTGACAGTTGTTTGCTCGGGTGTTCTCGCTTACGGGGAGGCACTTCGCGACTTGAGCTACGTATGCTATGGCACCGATGCATACTCGGTGCTATGGGTTGCTACAGCCTTGCAGCCAAAGGCGTTTGGAGATGCGACCGAGGTGCTCAGCTCAGGGGTAGCCCTGTGGGGACGCGGCGCGCGCGGCGCCTCGGGCGATGACGGAACCTTTGGAGACTTCCCCGCGGTTGCTCCTTGATTGGGCGAGGTTCATCGGCGTGGACTGCCGAGAACTGCCCGAGGGGGGTGGGCTCCAGGGATCCTCCAGCACGCGTCCCCAGCGCGCTCGCTTTTTTGACGGCCGATGACAGGCGGCGTGCGCGGTCGCAGGCGCCCGGCGCGGAACCCCCTGTCCAGGACCTCGGGGAGCTGCGCGATGCGGTGCGCAGCCAGCCCTGCGAAATCCGCCAGGCGGCTGCCGGCGCAACGCAGGTCCCCCATGAGCAGCAACGCCTCCCCGTGCGCTGGCAGGCGGTCCCGCCAACCAGGACAAGCATTGGCCATCATCGCCGCTGCGTCTCCGCGCTGCCACCGCAGCGCAGGCAGCAAACCTGCCCGGGCCACTGCGCGATCATCGCGAAGGGTGGCCCCACTCCATCACGGAATGGGACAATTAAGCGCGGCGTGCGAAGGACTCGCCGAGCATGACGCCGGTACTGCAGTACCGGCGTCATTCTCAGCGCCAGCACCGAGCCCGTCATGACGGGCTCGGCGCTAGCGTTCCGGCGTGGCCGAGCTGCAGGCAGGGCCGCGCGGGCGCGGCCGGCGGGTGCGGGACATGGCGCGGACGCCGCGCGGGCGCATACCCTTCGCTGGGTCCCGCGCCAGACGCGCAGCTGGCGGCGCCAGGGCGCAGGCACCGCAGCCAGTGCCGCTTGCTGGGCAGCTGCCTGCACCCGTTGCGCCGACTCCAGCAGCTCCAGTTCCCTGCAGCGGGCGCGCACCGCGTCGCTCGGCACGGCACGTTGCGCAGCGGCGGCGCCGACGTTGCCGTCGGTTGCAGCGTTGCCGAGGCGGTCGCGCTCACTCATCCCACGGCGCCGCGTTTCCGCAGGCGGCTTTTGCGCTGGGACCCACCGGGCCCGCAGCCGCACGGTGCGCACGACGTCCACCAGCTACTCGGAAACGTCGGGGTGCTCCCAATCCCGCACGGCGGTGCCAGCTGCGACCTGCGCACGACATACTGGCTGTCCGAGGTCAGGTCGATGGGGCCCCCGGCGACTCGCGCCGCCGCCACGGCAGTTGTCACCTCAGCGCGGTGGGCAGTGGGCAGGCCGTCAACAGGACCAGCGAGGTTCGTTGCCTCGAGCTCATCGCATGGCAGGCCCCCGCGCCGTCCGCGCAGCAGCGGGCTAGTCGGGCGGAGGTGGGCGCCGTCGCTCCACACTGTGCGGCGGAGCGCCTCGGGCAGAAATTCAGGGGAGGCCAAATGTACCCCACGTACCCTGGAGAGGGGGCCTCAGGGCCCACCTCGGGTCGCCCAATGGCTGCGTTTTGGCGCCAAGCGTGGCTGGACCCGTGGCCGCTGCGACTCCTCAGGGGGTCGTCCTGGGGGTACGCTTGGCCCTTCCCAAGAAGCGCTGCCTGGGGCGGGTGCTGCGGGCCCTCGATGTCCGCTGCTTCCGCACGGGCCGCGAGCAGTGGCGGCGTCGCAAGGACCCTGGTCGTCCTTGGGAAACGTCTCCGTTCGTTGCGCCGCGGCCAGCGCGGCGCGGCGCGCTCCTTCCCGTGCCGGGCACGGCCAGAGCCGATGCTCGAGGTCTTCGGTGGCCAGCTTGCCGCGCGGGCAGGCGTCAGTTTGGCCATCCCATTTCGGTGGAACTGCCTCGGCGACGATGCCGCTGCACATGACGCTGCGCAGCGCGCTGGCGGTCAGAGGGCCAGAGGGCGTCGGTGACGAGCAGGCGGCGCGTTGCCCACCTGTCCACGCTGTTTGCCAAGTCGGCAAAGCACGGCCGACGCGACGCGGCCCTGCGGCAATCCGCCCAGTGCCACGCCGCGAAGACAATGCGCTCGGTGGCCCGCACCGGCCGCTTCACTGGACCCCAGCCGTGCGGCACCAGCGGCACGCCGACCCAGCTCTCCGTGCCGGTGCCCAAGCCCAGCTCGAGCAAGCTGCGCAGTGCCGCGGACAATGGCCCGACAGCGCGCCCAGCTCCAGAGTGCACTGGCCTGACAGCCGCGTGCCGCCACGAGGCGAGATCAAGCTGGCCAGCCTCGGGCGCTCATGCAGCATGCAACAATTTCTCCACGGTAGCCGCCGCTTCGCAGTGCGCTCGCGCGACGCCAGGATGGGGAGGAGGAGGGAGAGGAGGAGGAGGAGGAGGGAGAGGAGGAGGAGGAGGAGGAGGAGGAGGAGGAGGAGGAGGAGGAGGAAGAGGAACATGGCCCCGGAGGGGCACACCCATAAGTGGGGTATCGGGCCAAAGCGCCCCCTAGCGGAGGCGGGGACCGCTGGGCCTTCGGGGCACAAGCCCCCGCACCTGGGATGGCCCCCAAAGCGGGGTCCCCTTCCCAGGGGGCCCCCGGCCACGCAGTCTCCATCGAGAGCCTGGCTTCCCAGCCAGGTGTCCCCCGTGGGAGTCGTGTGCCAGGGGGTCCGTCTCCCCCCCGTCGTGTCGTCGCCGTCGCGGTCGCGTCTGTCGTGTCGTGGCGGGCCCCTGGGTCGGTGGGTGGGGTTTGGTGTTGCCTGGCCCCTGCCCGTTCTGTCGGCGGTCGGGTGTTTCCGGCCGGCAACAAAGGGCGGGGGAGCTGGTTTGCTATTCCCATGCTGCCCGTTTGTGGGGGGCCCGCCCGCGCCGCGAGCGCCCCGCGGCCCGGCCGCGGCGGCGCGCGCGGCGCTCGGTATCGGCGGCCCCGCTCAAGGGACCAACCGCTGCAGTTCCGGAAGAAGGAAAGAGGAGGAGGAGGAGGAGCATGTTTGAGAACGATGGAAGAGCGCACGACAACTCCATGAGCGCAGAGGGGCCAGAATGGAGGGTGGCCCGAGGCGACGGACCTGGCCCGTCCTTTTCAAAGCCATAAACGAGGAATCTTTGAGCACCCCGACCTTCGCGAGCGCCTCAAGCCGGCCCCAGAAGCCCCCCCACCCGCAGTACGGCAGCCAGGGCCCCAAACCCCTGGGCGTAAAATGGCCGCACTGGAAGCGCCGTGCGGCTGCGCCGCCCTGGGGGCCACAGCTCCCATATGTCGTGCGGGCCCAGCGCCCGCCGCCAGCGGTGGAGAGTGGGGGTCAGCGCCGGCCCCAAAATCCGCATGGACCTCCG